ATACATATTTGAAGAACTTATTATAGTCAGTACCAGAAGCCAATCTGCAAAGACAAAATGTAATATTCCAAATACAGATCCTGGAACAATGACAACTTATTTTAAAGCACAGAAGCAGCAGGATGATTACATAAAGGAATCTACTCATCGACTAATCAACTTATTTTACCCAACTCTGACTAGAAGCCTTAATAATAAAACTAAATTAAGCAGTGACAATTAAGAGGTGACAAACCTCTTCCTTCACCAGGAGTAGTGCCTTCTGCACTCACAAATTTGAGGCTGCTGAATCGAGCAATTTTGGCATTCAGAAGCTGACCTCTTCTGAGGCCTGCTGCCAGCAGCCCATCCACACAAGTCTTCCTGGAGCTGAATACAAACCCCTTCTCTAGAAAGTGTAAAGGTAAAACAAATAACTGATATAATAATTTAAGCAGCAGCTGCAAAGGCCTATGCAGACTTAGCTTGCTCTCACTGCAATCTCTGGGGCACGTCTGTAGATACTAAAGCTGCCCTTCCGAATGTACAGCCCGTTACATAATTCTACTATTATTATTATTACTAATAATACTTTCTTACATAAACTAATGTCTTTAGATCTCATGTGCCTTAGGAAGGCATCTTACGCATGCACATACTTATATTTGATCTTATTAGAAGAAGAGAAATACTAGCAACGAAATGCAACAGCACCTATATCCCAGCGTTTCGCTTTGATGGATCATGTGAAGAATGTAGGATTCCTTGCTGGTTCCTGTCAGGCCAGGCAATAACAGGACAGTGGGTCTTGTGCTGGCGTCCGGATAATATAAGCTGTCATTATTATCAAACCAATCCAACGAAATCTGTCCTCCATCTGCTGTTTTAATGAGCTCACTGAAAGGCACATTTCAAGACAACACTGATTAGATTGAAAAATACAGGCATACTATTAAGAGTGCTTACAGGGTACAAATTACCAGGTATGAATTCTGCATTTCTAATTATGTTTTAGTACTCAAAGTGCCACCTAACTAGCTATGTTCACATGTTTACCACTCAGAAAGAGCCATGCCTCCAGCTGACATGAGTTAGCACAGTTTGCAGAGCAATTCCTGTTAATGGTAAATGAAGAGCTGGCCTTTTGTGAATTGCTGCTGATGGACTCATACCTAATGGGATTTTTTTGCATTGCTTTCTATTTTATATAAGCTTGTGTACTGCAGTTTTCCTTCGGATCATCTGAGAATCTTTCGATAGCACACTGGGCAACGTGTTAAACATCTATCACATTTTTTTTCTCTCCATCCAAAGGAGCAGCAGGTATAATGGAGGGCACTTTGTTATGGTGTAAACACACAGAACACGGACATACAGCACTGTATCTTTCACCCTGTATTTCCACAAACTTTGCTAGAATGCACTCTAAAACCACATATCTTAAGAATGCAGCAAATGTGATGATATCCCAAGAAGCTAAGCATGCATTAAACAATGAAAAGGTTTCAGTCTTTTTTAGAAACATAGAGCATCTTCCATTTTCTCTGGCAATGAAGACATTGTACGAGAGAGTTGGTATAGGAACTACCAAAATTAAAGCCTACCTTGCATTTGATTTTTCATTTGAAAGTCTTGATAGCACCTACTCCAGATTTTAAAGCTCGTCAGCCTTGTTGGACTCATTAGCTCAGTTTTGCCCTTTTTCAGTAATGAGAAGTAGATGCAATGCTGGTGTGTACTGCCAACACAATCTCAAATGGTGCAAAATAAGCATTGCCCCATGGAACTATGTTTCTTCCCTCACAAACCTTGAAATAGAGAGTATACAAGAAAGGCTAGAAAAAGTGGACATGGCCATACCACTGAAATGTTTCCTAGTTACTAAAACTAAGGGAAGCTGCTAAAGTGCTAAATCTATTCTACCATGCAAACAGAGCTGAAACAACTTGTGCTGCATCCAGGTTCCGGCGCATAAAAGTACTTCTCCTTAGGTCTTGTGCCAAATGCCTCATTTGCCAGACTAAGTCTCATTTCTGTGTGAGAGAGATCAGCTGAGGACAAACAATAAATATAAGTTTTTTTCCCGCTTAGAATTTAGGCATCAAAGAACACAACGCAAACCCCGCAGGTAAAAGTTACTCTGAAAATCCCAGAAGTTTTATATTATTGAAACAAGGTTGAATGTGGCCATGTTATGGTTAAGGTAGAACTTGTTGTTTCAATGGACAGATACAGTGATTCTGTGACCTTTGCAAAATGATGGCATTCAAACAGCAGAATATTTGATGCACCAGCTGGGTGTGCTGCCATCCAGAGGGACTCAACAGGCTGGAGAAATGGGTTGATAGGAACTTCATGAAGTTCAACAAGGGGAAGGTGCAGTCCTGCACCCGGGGAGGACAAGCCCCATGTGCCAGTACAGGTTGGGGGCTGACCAGCTGGAAAGCAGCTTGGCAGAAAAGGATGTGGGGGTCCTGGTTGACACCATGTTCAACACAAACCAACAATGCACCCTCCCAGGAAAGAAGGCCAACAGCCTCCTGGGCTGCATTAGGAGGAGCACTGCCAGCAGGCTGAAGGAGGTGATCCTTCCCCTCTACTCATCACTGGTGATGCCACAGCTGGAGTGGTGTGTCTAGCTCTGAGCTCCCCAGTGACCAAGCACTGACACAGGCTGTCCAGGGAGGTTGTGGAGTCACCATCCTTAGGGATATTCAAAAGCTGTTTGGACACAGTCTGGGGCAACTGGCTCTAGGCGGCCCTGTTTGAGCAGAGGAGTTGGACAAGGTGACCTCCAGAGATCCTCCTTTCTGACCTCAACCATTATATGATCCTGTGAACATATAACCACATCAGTTCCTATATTGTCACCAGTATTTCAATGCTCCAAAACTTTCTGAGCTAAAATAGGACCATTTGGGAATCTTGACCTTTTAAACCTACTGTATGCTGAATCCAGGATAGAAATGTTTCCAAGCCTAGGACAGAGTTGTAAAGGCGGGCATAAAGCAAAAACATGGACACAGGCTCGAGCAATGACAGTAGCTGTGACACAGTCAGAGTAAGGTAGCTGCTGGCTACCGAATCAATCACTTTCCAGAAGAAAAGCACTTACTTCCTGTACTGTACTTGGGGTCTAGAGGTGATAAAGGGACGCAGGAGTGTCTGCACTCGACCTTCCCAGCACCAAATCGTGGGATAGTAAGTTTCTGTCACAACAGGGCAATATTCCTCGAGAAAGCGGCAGAAACGGTCATTGCTGGCCACCAGCTGGGGTTTCTAGGGAGAGAGATTACAGTCAGGCATGAGCATTCATATAAAACCAACTAACAAATAAACAAACAAACAAATAAATAAAAGCTTGTTTAAGTCTTTTCCCAGTAAACTGTTTTCTTCCATATAATAATTTGCAATGCTTTTTCCTTTCATGGTAAAGAGATAATTAATACAAAACCAAACAAAATGCCCACTAAAAACTAAAATCCACTAAAGATTATGGATTCCTTACCTATTTCTAATAATATTCTGTTCTCGCTCTACTTTTAGCAGCATTGCACCTTTCACTGAAGAATCAAGCCCACACTGTCTCACAGTAGGGGGGAAAGATTTTACTGAATCAATTTTCCTGCACTGCACAGAAATGATGCTTAATCCATGTACTTGGACTGTGCACCTGCAGTACCTATTTTAACCTGGTAGGACACTCCTCCTCCCATCTCATACCACAGTACACAACTGCATTGGTTACTCATCTCTAATAACGCTCTGCATACAGAGATTTTTCTTACAGCTTCTATTTGTATACGAATTAACCTGGAAATCCCTGCATACCAAACATCTCATGTTTTAGCAACCACGTCTCTTAAACTTCTCTTTTGAGGGCCTCTCCAGCCCTCAAGCATTAATGGGTCAATAATAGATGCTTTGAAGAAGATGGTTACACATACACAGCGCCAGCGCCAAGCCTCCTGACCCTTGGATTTTCTCCTCTGACCAAAATCAAGTACCCTCCTGTCGCTGAGGAGGAAGGCTGTGTTCCCAGCGGATCTGTGAAGGACTGTGGCAACACGCATGTCTTCAACAGCCCTCAATCTTTTGATATGCGTATTTGCAGTCGATTAAGCATTCAACCGGGCACTCTCACCACGGGGCCACTTTAGATCTGATCAGGCTCACGGTATCCAAGTCATTTGCAAATGCCTAATTTACCTGCGAAACCACTGCTGATGAGGAGATGCACAAGAGCATCCCAGCCCCCAGAAACACTGCGATAAGTAGCTCCGGAGGTAATTACGATGGTACCCAAGCCAGTCACAAGGGCGGCAAACTATTTTATCCCCCGAGGTGAACCAAAAAGGTCGGGGTTTTGCTGTGGAGGGAGGGCTTCTGACCTCCCATCGCCCCCCAGGCGAGCTCTCCCCCCGCCGCTACCCCGGCATTTCGGGGATGCCCGAGGTCGGAGCCCCTTCCCCTCCCAGGCCGGGCACGACCCCGGGGGCGACCGGCGGGCCCCCGCGGAGGAAACGCCTCGGGGCTTTATCTGCGGCCCGACGGCCCTGGCATGATGGGTCCGGGGGAGGGCTGCGCGGCCCGGCACGGCGGCGGAGAGGGGCCTGTGCTGGGGGGGGAGAGCGGGGTCCCGGCCAGGCGGGTCCCCAGAGCGGCACCTCCGGAGGAGGGACGGGAAGAGGGGTGTGAGGACGAGGCGGGCGCGGCGCCCTGCTCCCCCAACTCCCGGCCATTTCAGGTGCCTCCCCTCAGGGGAGGGGGTGTGTGTGTGGAGGTGACCTTCGCGGGACGATCGCCCCCCCAACCCCCCGGCCGCCATGGCGGGACACCTGCGGAGCCCTCCCGTCCCCGCCGCCCTCCCGCTCACCTTGGCGATGCTGCTGAGGTAGTAGCAGGCGTAGGCGACGCCGAAGCCCAGCACCAGCGACAAGCCCACGCCGGAGCCGAAGAGCCCCACGCGGACCTGGTTCTCCAGGTAAAGGGAGAGCTCCCTGGTCAGCCCCTGCCAGTCCATGGCACACACCGGGCAGGGTACGACACCCCGGCTGCCGCGGCCGAGCCCACCCCGGCGCGCAGGGAGGAGGAGGAGGAGGAGGAGGAGGAGAAGGAGGGGAAGAAGGAGGAGCCGCTGCCCGCGGACCGCTCCGCGCTACAGCGCCGCCGGCGGCATCACCCGCACCGCCCCGGCCGCCGAGGCCTGCGGGGACGGCTCGGAGCGGGGAGGCGGGCTGCGGGCGGGCCGGCCGGCTTCCTTCCCGCAAGCGGGCCGCCGAGCAGGGCCGGGCCGCGGTGGCCACAGCCTCGCCTGCAGGGGAGGAAAAAATCCCGAGAGAAGCGGCGGGACGCGGCCCTGGGCGGCGTGGGGGCAGCCTGACGGCAGGTACCTTCCCGGGGCGCCTTCGTTGTCCCCTCACCCCTGCGCTTTCCCTCAGGCAGGGCGTTGCGGGGTCAGGGAGGAGAGGGGCCCGTCCACAGCCGTGAGGGGCAGCCGATGCGGGCGAGTGGGAACTCAGTCACACCGGCGCAGGACACCCGTCCTGTGTCGTACAGGAGGAAGAGGGGACACCAGGGCTCCCAAGATTGCAGCACTGCTCGATCAGTAATATCTGTCTCAATATTTTAAGTGATGCTGAAGCACGCAACTGCTTTTTCCGTTTCTCGCCGCTGCTACGAGGCGGTAGCGAAGATCAGAGAGGAGTATATGTATTCCCTAACTCCCAGGAGGGATCCTGCCCACTCTCTTTTCAGCGGCATGGATTGGTGTTGTGTGGAGGCCCTCACGTGTTTGCTAACTCAAATGCTTCCCCCTTCAGCTTCAGAAAAAGACGCTGTCTTTTTCCTTGCCAAAGTCCTGGGAGCGCAGCTGATAACACAGAGGTCCTGGAGCTGAGCATCTGCTCTTTGAGATGCACCACAGGACACAGAAATGCTTCAGCTCCATGACCTGGCAAGAGAAGACAGACTTTCCTCTCTTCACTTCTTACCTTATCTGTGTTTTCTTGCTATCTCTGAATTTGGAACCATAACTGAAAAAAAATAAAAATAAAAAAGAGTATAAGAGCAGCAAATGAGATGTGGCCTATTTCAGTTGCTATTCCTTACTCAAACGGATCTTAACAGAGAGGTTCTGCTCTGACATAAAGCATCTAGTCCCAACTATTTCTTGTTAACTATGGTGCCAAGCTCTTGAATATTGGGCCACAGCTTAACTTAAAAATATACTGAAAAGGACTTTAGCTCTCCTTGCTGTAGAGAGAAGTGCTACTGTACATGTACATGTTCGTACTGTGTGATCAAACATTCTGCTTTGCTGCAGCAACAGTGGATTCCAGTCCTGCTTTGACAACTATCTGAAAACCCATTGTAACATCTAAAGACTTTGCAATTAAATGGTGTTTTTCTGATTGCATTGCTAGTTTGGGATTTGGAAACGTCAAGCATGCTTTACCATTCAGTCTGACAAGCAGAAATCTTCTACTTAACACCTTTTTCTGCTCGAGGAAAAGCAGTTTGTATAATTTTAAGAACTTTTAATTAAAGAATCAGAATGATAAAAGTATGCAAAGTAATTAATTGATACTATATTAAGAAAGATAAATTAATAAGAGTGCATTGCAAAGTTCTGAAGAAATTTAAAAATACCTGTTCTTCCTATCCAGTCAGCTGTCCAAAGCTTCCAGAGACACGGGGGCAGAGCTACTGCAACCATTGAAAAAAGTGTGGGAATTGGTAAGCAGAGGCTAGGAAGGGTCGGGGGTTTGTTTCTTTCCCCCGCAGCTGTTACAGAAAAAGGAAACTGAGTGGGTGGAAAACCTATAGTCATCAACACCACACTTCCTCTGCTTCTGCTTACAGAGAACTGCCATAGCCAGGCCTGGGTGCTGACTTGCTGGCTATGTGTTGTACACCCCAGATAAAAGGATTTATCGTGAAGAAACGCTCCAGTGTGAGCAGCTGGAGTAGATAGTTTAGTTCTGAAAACACGTGGGCTTCATCAATAACATGAACTTAGGAACCTTCAGAGACACTAATTTGGGTGAACTGAGGACTAGTCTTTAGGATGCCAAGGAAACTGCTAATTATGAAGAAGGAAGCAGGTTGCTGCTTGCAGCAGGCTGTTCGCCTACCTTCAAGTCCTATCCCCATTAAGGTGACGAGTCCTTGAACCAGCCAAAAAACTAAAGAAAAATCTCAAGTGGCTGAGAAAGAAGAGGACACAGCGTGTGTCCATGGTGCTAGAAGGCTTATAAATGCATATACACACATTTGACCGAAAAGCGCAAGGTTTGGCCATTGATGGTTAGAGAAACCCTTCTGAGGCGTAGAAAACCAGCAGTTTAATGACTCGATCAACAATCCAGGGAGACTGAATCCACGAAACAAGATCCAGACACAAAGGTTGAGGTTGGTCTGGTCTTTGACCGCTGCTGTGCATTCATTACTCAGAGGAATATTAGTGATGTCAGGCATATATAACATGCCATAGACAAACTGAAACAAATTACATGTACTGAGAAGGGCTGAGGGTTTTCTGTTTCTGTGTAAGCATGTTGCTACACTGTCAATAGCAAATAATAACCTCCTTCTATTTTAAGCAATCCCCATCAGATCCTCCAGTTCCAGTGGAGGGTTTTTTTTACAGTCTTTAAAAGGTTATCCTTTAGCCTACAACACATTTTGCAGAGCTGAAAAAGCAAAGGCTGTATTCTGCTCATATTACAACCACTTCCAAGCGATTTAGTGATTGCAGATTGTGTGTGTGGGAAGAAAACAAGGTGGTCACTATGGTGTTTTGAACTCTTACCGCATTTTTTTTTCAGAGGAAGACAGTCCAACATTCCCAGAGAGACTTGCTATTTGCACTACGCTCTCTGTGCTCTAAGTGCTTCATAAAGTGATTGCATCAACACAGCTCTAATGGATTATAGATTAGGCAGAAACGAAAGGGCACAGGATTGTTCTTTCGTATTGTCTCCCAATTTATTTTGCTTAAGCAATAGGTAATAATTCACAGAAGCAATTGGTTAGTCACAGCTTGATTTACATTTTTTCACTAGGAGGCTACGCTAGTGCTATGTTGTCTTTATTTTGATTTTTTGTTAGGGGAGGTGGTTCTGTGATTATTTTGGGTTTGAGGGGGACTGACTTTCTAGGGGATAGTTGCAGGCTGGTCCCAGAATTAATTTCGATAGGCGCTGCAGCATCTCTGAGGAGGGGCAGAGTGACTTTTAACCTCAGAGTTTTAAATTCAAGGTTCTGTTTGTTTATATTCTTTTAACATTTGTTTAACTTCAGCATTTATCTAAGAAAATGGGAAAAGTATCTTTGTTTAAGTATTCCCTGACCTATCTCAGGAATACTTAAAAAGCTCCAAATCCACGTATAAACCATCTGAGAAGTTTTCCATCAACACAGGGAAGAGGGCACTCACTATTCTTAATATTTATTATTGGCAGGGGAATGGGAGAAGAAAAGTGCATTTGGAAAATTCAAGTCAGCATTTCTCAAGCCTTCTTCATGAATATTACAGATTTTTCTTTCCTTAAAGTGTGAATGAAGTAGGGAGTTAATGAAGTTAACGTAAATGTTCTGTGCTGGAGGCTTTTCAAATTTCAGAGGAAAAGGCCAGGCTGTGTTATGCTGTACTCTTGGTGCTCATGAAAAAATCAATGATTGTGGCATCGGGAATAGCTGCTTCTGTTTGTCCCTTTCTTGAGCTTTGCTACTCATAATAGCATCTCCATCACAGATAATGCTATCTCCATATTTCCAGGCATCCACATCTTTCTCTTCCATGCTTTTTCTCTTCACTCCCTCATGAAGTATTTCTCAGCCCTTTCCACTGGTGAAGTTGGAAGGAACATAGGATTCAAAAGGAACATTTTGTATCATTTGATTTATCTTTCTTTAACTATGTTTCCTTCAATTAAAATGTGAGCATTTCAGTTCAGTGCATGTAGCAGGTATCCTGATCACAAACACAACCACATCATTTAGTATTGTTTCCCTCTCTGTTTAGGTGGTTGAAGATGCCTTCAACGGCTGCTGTGACACAAAGACTGCCCAGTATTTGTCTCCCGTGGAATGACTCTTGCAGGATTTAGTCTACAAGAAACCAATTCCCTGCATTTGAATACAGCTGGCAAACAGAATCGTGGTTCGTAGAGCATCAGACCAATTTGACTCATCATCATGTTAAATGATGGTGATGAAACTTTGTTTTCTGTCATTTAAAATGGCCACAGAAGAGTTAAAAAAATAGGTTAGGACTCTGTGATATATAGCTGAGTATAATTCTCAGATGTGAATTACCTTAAAATTGGTTGTTTTGTTCAGAAACCAAAGATAACAATCCACAGCATGCTGAAAGAAGAGAGTATGAGAGAGTGAAGTATAAACTAAATTGAAAGCAAGCAAATACATTGAGGACACTTCTCTTAAATTAATTTTTTCATTTAAAATGTTATCAGAAGCTGCTACAGAACTTGAAGAATTTTCATAACAGTACAGTAGAGAAGTATGTTGAATCTAGGTTAAACTTCCTCCTGCCTCCCAGAAATCTTTATTGTAGTTTAACAAGAAACATTTTCATTGTTATTTCCTTTATAAACATTTAAAAGTGAATAAAAAATTTGCATGTTGTATTTCAAACACAAACCCAAAGCATTTTAGAATGCTTCAGCCCACCACCCAACAACTTCCATATACGTTTGGTAAATTCCTGTTCTACTTACATCAACAGCATGGCTCCAGCTGAATTCAGTGGAGTAAGAAATATGTCCAATTAATCTCTTTTGTTTAGGTAATTTTTTAGATTTTCTTTAGCACGTTAATAGTGAAAAATATTTGTAAGCATTAGACATAATCTTAAATGAGATGTATATTAAAAATGTTTACATTTTTAAGCATATACCCTAGTTTAGCAACAGATTCTTTTTGTTAATTTTGAAAATTTCTAAAGATTTCAACCAGTCTTATCAGAGTGTACTGGAAATCTTCTTAGAATTCAGGATTACATAATCTTGTGCCTGGGGCTGTTTTCTTATGACAAAACAGACAATGTTTAGATTCTGCTTGAGTTATTAAAAGTTTTTACTACTTCATTAGTAGTAACAGATTACTACAGATTATTAAAATTAGACATAGGTATTATTCAGTGCTTAAGTCATCTTTCAGGCATTACTGAGTGTGTATTGAGTGCCTTTGTAATACAAGAAATACCTGTACTTGACTGTAAACGCAGGATTAGTCCCATTGATCGCAACAAAAATTACCATGCACATAAATTAGGAACATTCTTAAAATATCTTGATGACCTATGCAGACAGTTTATTTTGCTATCAGTCTAAAAATACGAACTAGGTAGTTCTGACTACATCTGAGAATTTCAAGTAAGTAGTTTCTTTACAATCTTTACAATCAGGAAATTTAATACCAGGAAGAAACAAACCCTCCTTCCAATGAATCATCTAATTTAAAAGTCATCTATGAATAAAACATTAATATGTGGCTAAACATTTGGAAATATCAGGTGAGTATACATTCTTTAATCCTCTGAGGTATGCTGAAGTAGGACAATTTGTACAGATGTACAAATAGTGTGCATGCCCTAGATTGTTACAGAATTTTTACTTAAATTAATTTTGTCTTTGAATACTTAAACCTCAAGCATAACTTCACAGGTATGTTGTTTCATCTCCACACAAAATAGTTCAGCCTAGTAAAATTTAAAACCTTAACAGAGGGAGAAGATTCCAGGATGCTCCTGCTAGGGAAATATAATCTTCTTTATCCTAAAATGTTTTTTTCAACATGTTGAGGATTTTTAGCCAGATCCAGAAAAAATTCCTTCTTTTTAGCAGATCTCCGTGGGATTAGTTTTCTTTCACATCAGGAAAATGAATTGACATATTTATAATCTGTTCTTTGCTCAGCTGTTTTTCCTTCCTAGAAAAGAAGTAGCTGATAGAACTCCTTTCCTTAGGGAAAGAAAGAGCAGCGCGGACGCTGTGGGTTAATACATGTGTTCTAATTAACAGTTTCGTCGAGGATGCCAGCAGCACAGTAAAAACCCACCAAAACAATTTGCTGCGTGCTCCTTGTCTGGCATTAAAAAATATTTTAATCTGCAGAAACTAGGAGAAAAATCAATGGCAATTATTCATGACATGTCTGAAAACTGAGGAAGAAATTGGATTGTGTTATGGATAATGAATCTGGTAAATAAAGCAGTGGAAATACAATGCAACAGTTAACAGGATAGGTGTGTTTTCGTGTTAATGGGAGATGGTAGATGGCCACGTGATGGCAGCAGAGTCTGAGGAATTCGGGTTTTTTCACACATTAAACTACAGATTAACAGGATATATGGCCTAAAGTCCCTAACTGGTTCTTCAGGTTCTAGAAATTATACATTATTTATATTTTCACTTAAAAACATGTGGCATGTTCATGTGGCATGACCAGAACTTTCTGTGGAGAGTGATTACATGCTTTTTTTTTAAAAAAAAATAATATATAAGATTACATTTGGGGCAATTTTTTTCAGTATAAGAGTAGTTTTCATTTCATTTGCCAATATTTCCATCTTTCTTACTCAGTTAGTTGAGTTAGTTCGACCCAAAAGAGAAGGTGTATTTTGATAAAACCAAGGCAGTTGCTTACTTTTTCCTAGTTCGTTTTCCTAATAATTTTGTCCACAGGGAAAAAACTGCATTATAAAAAACCCTTTTGGGGAAAACCAGAAAATTAAAATCTGGATTGCCTTCAATTTTTAAGAGGAGGACTGAGAAAACTGCCTGTTCTAATACAGAGACTTGAACTGAGGAGGCAGAATTTTTGGACTCAGATTGGCATAAATGAATAAGCTCTACCTTTGTATTTTTAAAAGGAAACTACAATCAGCTCATTATATGTAAACTAGATGCTCTTTTTCGACTCCTAAGAAGTTAGTTATATATATAATTCGTATGACAAATTCTGATAAGTCAGTATTTGTGCAAGATAGTAAACAAAACTTCAAAACTGTATGAGTTAATAATTATCTTTCCCAGAAGTTGGGATTTTTTTTTCTTCTAAACCATATAAAACCAGGCTTTTCACATGGGGCTCTCTCCTGCAGTAGGGACAGTCCCCTTTCCGCATTGCATGTCCCAGATCCTACATTGCAAGTTCAGCTTTAATCAAACAAGACAGTACAGAAAAGCTTCTATCAAAGTCTCTCTTCAATCTATGCAAATACTTATACATGTTTTATGACATTTTGGAGAACTGAAAGGCACTCAGGTTGAGTTAAGCCAAGCAGCTCTGTGGAATGGCTCAGATGAACAGGGGCATAGGCTGGACGACCTCCGTAGTCCTATTTCCTCTGAGGGTTGTCTTGAGGATTGTCCTACCCTCTAGGAGGGCAGCAGCTGCTCTTACAAAAAGCCCACATGCTTTCCAACAATAACAAGGAGTTTAAAGGGATGTCATTAGGTTATGCACAGCACTGAATTATGCATAAAACAGAGGTCTTCTCTCATGGCCCCTCGCTGGATTGCTCTAATATGGCAGGAAATGGCGAGGAAGACCATAATCACCAGCTGGAGGATGGTGTGACTCAGCAATGTACGTAGTTTTGGGTAGCCAGAAGGGAACCCGTTCTGTAGTTCCTTTTGTGTATCCAGATTCCTGCACTGGCCGTACATTAATGAGTCTTTGCAATTACAGGCAAGTATGCCTAAAGTACTGTGGATTCCCTTCCTCCAGACGGTGACTTGGCTGCTCTGTCATGTCTACCCGAGGTATTCAAAGCCGGCACTGCCTCACAAGGCAGGCAGCAGTGGTTAATTACAGCAGGACTGTTCAGGTAAATAAGGCCTTTGGCTGATTAGCTTTGGTTGCTTCTGCTGCAGCAGTTTCAGGCAGTACTGCTCTGCCAGTGTGCCTGGGTAGTCTCCTCCCAGAACAGGGATGGCAGAAAAGAAAGGTCCCATGCCTCTCTGCTGGTGCTAAGTTTGAAGCATGATTTCTAGATTGTAGACTCCAAAAGCAAAGAAATAAATCTGTTGCCAACTCCAGTAGCAGGCTTTTAGATGGTATTTTTCTCCACAGTTTGAGGCCTGATAAATTAAATTACCTGGAGTGTGAGCACACGTTGGCTCTAAGGCTGTAAAATAGCCATTCCATGCAATGAGGGGCAAATGCAAGTTTAGGAGATTTGATAAACTCTCAGCATTCATCCAGCAAAGAGAAGAGTCCCGTCAAGGGGCCAAAGACTTGTTAGAGACAACTGAAAATGCTACATACATTTATTCTGAGTAAAACTAACCAGCCAATGAACCAACCCCCTCTGCCTGCAAATGGCCCTAAGCCAACAAGAGGATTTTTGGTTGGAAAGTGAAGACGAGTTTTTTCCTTAAGGTATTAATGTGTCCAGTTTCCCACTGCTAACAAAATGCTGATACATACCTGAAAATGCTGTATTTGTCACTTATATTGTCACAATACATTAATTGGATTCAACATCCTATGAAACCTCCATCTTGTTTACAGTGCTGTATGTTAAATTTATTTCTAACTTTAACTCAGCTTATTTTCAAAACTCAAACCTCTCTTTTCCCTTTTGCTACTCACATTCTGATTCTTCTACCTCCATGACCTCTATGACCTACCTCTATGACCATGGATAGACCCTAGCTCTAGATCAAGATCTAGATCAAGAACTCTCCAGATTTTCTGGGTAATTCTGCCATGTGTTTATGCCATTTCATTCATGCCATTTAATACATGCACCAAATGTAATAAGCTACTAGAAGCTGTGGGTAGCTTTTGTACGGGGAGAAGCATCTGCAAGAAAAACCCAAACTGCCTGGCAATTGCATGTTTTCCTAGGGTGGTATCTGTTAGCATTTTGAGGTTTCCACTGCTGAAGGAGAAATCAGATGCTGCTTGGGAGTGCCTGTTGTCAGGACACAATTTCATGTTTAAGGCAGCATTCTTTAGCTTTAGTATGGGTTAGGGAGGAATGAGTTATGTGAGGAATGTGGTGGTAGTCTGGTGGTTACTTGCTCATATTATTCTGCTCTGCTATACATATTGTGAGAAAACTACACAAAAGAAGTCAGGAAATGATCGCACAGACTCCTCTAGCCATATTAATAACCACAAAAGTGGAAGGAAGCACAGAAACAGTAAAAATACCCAGGACACAAGGGTAGCTGGGCTGCCTTTTATCAGCCATTTTCCTCTTGACTAAGAAACTGTATTTTTTTGTCTGATTCAGACTTGTCTGTCCTTTAGGATGGATGCTGTTAAAAAGGTGACACAGATTGATTAGAGAGAGATAAAAACAATAGGAGGACCATTTTTAAAATGAAGACTCATATTCTATATAAGATTAGCCAGGATGTGTGGAGTTAAAGGAAATCCTTGAGTGTCATGAGACTGCAAACGAAAAGGATAGTTTATTAAGAATTGCATTGCAGGTACGTGCTTAAAGTTTGAGTAGGTACACCCTCCATGAGGGATGCCCCAAGGTGGGAAGGGTGGGTGGAGATACAGATTCTGCCCCTTTTGCTCACTGGAGCGCCTGAATAAAAAAGCTCCTGAACTACAGAAATCCAGTCCCACTAGACTCACCTCAATAGCAAGCAAGACTCATAGAATCATAGAATGGTTTGTGTTGGAAGGGACCTTAAAGATCATTGAGTTCCATCCCCCTTGCCATGGGCAGGGACACCTCCCACTAGCCCAGGTTGCTCAAAGCCCCATCCAGACTGGCCTGGAACACTTCCAGGGATGGGGCATCCACAGCTTCTCTGGGCAACCTGTTCCAGTGCCTCACCACCCTCACAGTAAACAATTTCTTTCTGGTATCTAAATCTACCCTCTTCCAGTTTGAAGCCATTAACCCTTGTCCTATCACTGTCTGCCCTTATAAAAAGGCCCTCTCCAGCTTTCTGGTAGGCCCCTTTAGGTACGAAGGCTGCTATGAGGTCTGCCCAGAGCCTTCTCTTCTCCAGGCCAAACCACCCCAACTCTCTCACCCTGTCTTCACAGGAGAGACGCTCCATCCCTCTGATCATCTTCATGGCCCTCCTCTGGACCTGATCCAACAGGTCCATATCCTTCTTGTGCTGAGGATTCCAGAGCTGGATGCAGTACTTCAGGTGGGGTCTCACCAGAGCGTGTCCACCGTTTGAAAAGAAAATGGGATTGTGGGGCACAGAGTTAGCCGAAAAAGAAGGAAAAGGCCGTACAGATTTTCCTAACCCATGTCACGCAAGACTAAATTGATACTATTTAACTGTTAATCCCTCTGTCATTAACAGAGAGGCGATACGAGCCACGTCTCCTGGACGGAGAGGGAGACGGGGGATTAGAGCCGCCCGGCCGCAGGAGCCGCGGCTGCCGCCAGAATCACCTCAGCGCCGGGCGGGGCCGCTGCCCTCGGGGGGCTCAACGGCGCCCGCGCCCCCAGACGGAACCGCCACGGCGGGCGACTCAGGGGAGCGCCGGGCAGCTCTGCCGGCAAGGATAAATAAACTCCTGCTCCTTCCTCTGCCTCCTTCCATTTCCACCGGCCCGCGCCCGGTTTGGGGAAAGGGGGGGATGGTGCCACCGAGACCGACTCGCTCGGTGCCCACCCCACCCCGGCTCAGCAGAGGGCGCTCGAGCGCCGCCCCGCCTCGTCCGGGCCCCGCCGCGCTGCGGCTGCGCGGAGGCGCCGGGGTTGTGCGCATGCGCACAGCGGGGAGGCGGGGGCTGCGCCGAGGGGCCGCCGCCGCTGCCGGTCTCCCTGGTGCCGCCGCCGTCGCGGCCACAGTCCCCGGATGTAGCGGCGGGCG